TGACCCAAGCATGGAAAAAATAACCCCAAAAATGACCCAACAGGCTCAACCCAAGAGTGTGTGAGTGTTGAACTTTTGACTTCACATACCAAACAATCCTAGTTCCCAGCTCGCACTGTATTAATTAATATGTCTATATTGAGGGCAGCAGAGGAGAGGAGGATTCTTCGAGGCTAAATAAAACCTACAATGTTTCCCATTTGTAATTGTGCATGGAAAAATCCTTGTATATATATATATATATATATATATATATATATATATGTGTGTGTTTATTGGTAGGTGGATGGAGGTCAGCGGCGGGCCGTAACGGCACCAAGGATCTTGGGCTGTGTTCGAAATCACCCCCGAAACCCTCATTCACTATTCCCTACATTACTCCACTAATACTGAAGGAGTGAATGAAAACGAGGGAACAGAAAACACGAACGGAATCTCAGAATCCAGTCACAAAATAGAAGTTTACTGTAAAACGAGCAATTCAATGGAATTTTTTGATGAATAAATAAAAAGCATGTCAGAATACTTAAATCGAATCTCCATATAGACTAGTGTCTGAATTATAAACCAAAAAAGTCTTCACAGCAGCCTGTCAAATAAGTGCACTCGATATCGTCCACTATGGTTTCAGACACCACTGCGAATGGCTGTGTCCTATTTAACCCTCTGGGGTTCTTCGTTTTCCAGTCACACTCAGGACCTTCGCGGTCAAAAGTGACCGGACCCCTGAAATCAATGTTTATTTTTTTTCAGTAAAATCAATGAAATTTATTTTTGTTCAATAATATTTTTTCTTTCTTTTTTTTGGTGTTTTGTGAGAATTTTTCTGAAAAAATGAATATTTATGCAATAATTATGATACATTTTTTCCCATTGAATATAATAGAAAATGTATATATATATTATTTTTATTATTTTTTAATTAATGCTGTATTTCAGATTAAAGTGGATCCTTGGCCTATAGAAAACATTTTTTTAAATCACATTAGAGCCATCTGGTGGATGTAGTGAGCATAATTATCATGCAATATCATATTTTAACCACTAGATGGATTTACAGCCTCTGTAGAAAAGCTTGTGAATTCTAGTTGTTTTTGCACATATTTTCCTATTTTTTTCAGGTTGTGGATTTTAATTTATAATAAGTGATTCTCAAAGACTATTTTTGTCAAATTTTTTGTTTGTTTGTTTGTTTTGTTTTATTAAAAAATATATATATATATTATTTTCGCATAGACATGAAAATCACTATCCAAACTTAAATGGTTGTAAGTCAAGAATGCTTTGGAATATAGACCTATGGTTGGTCTTGTTTTAAAGAAGACATTTGCCAGATTATTGTAGAAGTGAAATAAAGTATGAAAGTGAAACAGAAAAAAAGTTATGTAAGTTTGAGTTAATGAAAATGAACAATGTAAAAATGTAATTATTTATATTTTATATAAAATATATATATTACAAAATATATTTTACTCTAAAACTGCAAGAAAATGAAAGCCAAAAATCTTAAGAAGTTGTGTTCCAAATTTTAGGTTGATATCTCAAAAAATAAGCTTTCAGTCAAGATTTTATTTTGGCGCATACCAAACTTTTTCACTTACTGACCATATAAGGGCACCTCCATTTTCCATATATGTTTTGAGTGATCTGAACTATGTATTTCCATAATTTTCATACAATTTATGAAGTAGACATCCTATTCAGAAGTAGTATGGGTGGTTTGACAGTATTTGATTTGAATTCAACCTCTAAAAAACGCATAAAAACAGCACATATGTGCTGCAATAGGCCTCGAGGTTACTAAGAAAGAATTCCATCGTTTGATCTTACACTGTGTGTGTGTGTGTGTGTGTGTGTGTGTGTGTGTGTGTGTGTGTGTGTGTGTGTGTGTGTGTGTGTGCGTGTGTATAAGGGAGAGAGACATAGTGTGTGACCTTTGCATTTTGGACCCAATGTCTCCCCTTTATTTGATTCATTGATTTTATTTCACATTCTCACATTTCTCTGTTACAGTTTCACCAGTCTCATATTTCCCTATGTGTGTGTGTGTGTGTGTGTGTGTGTGTATTTTGCAACCTTGATTGTTTACAGTCTCATGCGTTCATTGCTGTGCGCTTTATTTCTTACATTGATGAATAATTGCTTTTATTTCACAAGTTTCCCAAAATTAGCTTTTGCAATGCAATGCAATTTGTGTACATGCGTGTGTTTTTGTGTGTATAAGTGTGTGAGTGTATTTGTCTGTTTTGCACTCTTGATGTTTTAGAGATTCCCCCCTTCACTGTTGTGTGCTTTTTTCCTGCATCGTGGCTGATTTGTAGATTGTACGCAAAAATAAACTCTGTATTTTCATATTTTTGCCAATTTCCCATTCATTTCCTATGGCCGGTCATTTTTGACCGAAGGTCCTGAGTGTGACTATTTTTTTTATAACCACTTAGACTTTTCAAATCCTGTCCCCAATTTTTTTGTGTGTTCGTATACCAAGTACCATAAAAGTCACCAAGTTTCGTACCATTCCGACGAAGCAACGATTTTTAACATTTTTTTTATTTAAAAAAATCCGGTCAGAAATGACCGAAGTACCCCAGAGGGTTAAGGGTGTAGTGGACGATTTCAGACACAGCCTTTGTTGCTATAGTTACCCTTGTTATTGATTACCCACACCTGTGTCTTGTTAGCCTCTTGTTGTCCTATATACCCCAGTGTTTCACTTGTGTTTGGTTGGTTGTTATCCTTTCATGTGTTTTGTGGGTCTCTTTTCTCTCATCTAAAAGAAATGTAGAGTTTGTCTGATCACTGATTAAAAAAACAACACTTTTCCCCTTTTCGCTTTACTCAATAAAGCAAATAGAGTTCGCAATATATTGGCAATAAAGCTGAACCGCATTGAAAACTATGATGGATTGAAGCACCCATATTAAGGCCTGTCTCCGTCTGCACGTCTCTCTAGTGTGTTACCATAGTCATGACACAGCAGACACACACTGGAATGTGTCAGTGTATCCGCACTGGAGCCGGCGTGACCAAACCTTCACCTCCAACACTAAATTTACATCCGTCTCATTCCTCAGCCGCTGTCCACCAATCCCACTGTCTGCGAGAGCAAAGCTGCTCCAGTGTGTGTGTCGGGAGGCAGGGACGTCTACTTTCACAGACCTTTTTAATGTGTATATGAATGTCTGAACAATTAAATGACTGTAAGACTGGATGCATGCTGAGTAATATCTTATTCAATCTTATGTATGCTGCTGACGATCTGTCCATTTTTTCTCCAAGTAGTGCTGGCTTTCAACAGCTGCTAAATGTTTACTCTGAGTCGGATTAAATATGATATGAAATATAATGCAAAGAAGAGCGTTGCCATGATATGTAGAACAAAAGCGGATAAGGACCTTCATTTTCCAGATTTGTATATGTACTAAAGTACTAAAACCAAATATTTGAAATGTGTGATGATGACGATATGTATAGGCAGTGCCGAATGTTATATAATATGCACAAGCTAATATGATGGTGAGAACATTTTATGTGTTCGGATCAGGTTAAAATTATTCTTTTTAGATACTGTACTTCTTTTAATACTGCCTAAAAACGTGAGCCAATGAAAGCTTCAGGTTGCCTACAATGATTCTATGAGGATTATATATAAAAAACCGAGATGCAGAAGTGCAAGTCATCTATTTTGTATGTCAAGAGTAAAAACTTTTATGGCTTTAATGAGAAATTTGATGTATAATGTATTTGTCGGCTGGATAATTCACAGATTGTTATTATTATGCTGTTGTCAAACCCAGGCAAAGTGGTGCGAGACCAGTCATCTATGAGAAAGTATTGGCATGATTGTCTATTTTAAATGATCTCTATTGTTTGTGTAGGTTGTTGTATGTTAACTCTCAAATGGACCTTGAGTCTGGAAATAAAGTTGAATTGAA